CGTTGATAAACAGGCAATGAGAGGCATAATTCACACAATATTGCTTACCAATTTAATGAATCGATTTCTCAGTAACCAAACACGAGTGGACCCAGTATTGGGAATAAATCAACCATGGACAGGCCCTACCATAGCTCAAAATACGAGCCCCTCCTATTTGGATCAGTTTTAGTTTTCGAAATGTCTATGCAATATGGAGATCAACCGTGATAATTACGCTGACAGGGAACCACGTGCGGTATTGGCATCGAAGTGTGAATACTAAATAGGTTTTACAAACTATTCCGCCCCTGGCCATCAACCTCAAGTTATATTTTGTTAATTATACAAACATTAATGAAATTGAGCAAGATTTCCCTTATTTCAGGATGTCTACAAAACGCTAAATGCGTCTGAGCCAGAAATTTCATCTGCGTGGACAATGTCAGAACTGAGCAGACATTTAACTTTGTCTAAGAGACCTTCGAAAAGAGAATGCGAAAGTGCAGGTATACCGAAGTTTAATAGCTTGTGCATCACACATTTTGACCTTACAAGAAGAGAAAAGCTGTTCTTGACGGCTGTCGTAGCAAAAAGGATCATTAAAGTTGGTCGGAAATTATTTATGGGCGTCTCCAATTGTGTTCACGCCTTACGAAATTTTGAGATTAATCCGGTTGTAGAGAATTTTGTGCGCAGGAATGATCTACCTTCTTGTTCGTGAGGCAATTTGATTGATGATATGATATGATGCGATGCCGCCATTATTACCGCCAAACCTAATGAAAACCGTCGACACGATGCTCAGCGACGGAGGAATTTGAGCAGTGACTCAGAAGCTTGAACTGAGTATTTTCTTAACCCAACCTTCTGAGCATTATGGATTTTTCGGCCAGTTTCTCTTACTCTCTGTATACGCTCGGCATTCTTTTCATTGCTCTATGTATTTCCTCCTTCATTCATTTTTTTTGCCATCTTTCATAGCTGTTTCGAGAACAATTTCGCGAAGTACAAGAACAAGAATATTAAAAGCGAGAACAATGAAAAAGAAAGGAGCAAGAGCGAGAAGACCAAGAATATTGAAAACAAAAAAAAAAGAAGAGCAAGAATAACAAGGACAGGAAGACCAAAAGCAAGGAGGGCAAGAGGAACAAGAAGATGAGGACAAGGACAAGATGAGCAAGGTTTATTGTGCAAAAGAAGTGAATTTACTCGTGGAGTTGTCATATTTTGCGGTAAAGTTAGCACTCGATCGCTCCTGAATTTGGAACTTCACAGACCTCATTGAGGTCTAGTTTACGAATCTCATCAAAGAAAGATGAGACGAAAGAAAGTGATCCCGTTGCCTCTACAAGAAGACTTATCCACTCACAAGTGCAGGACGTGGTCAAACAAACATACGAATGTTGGTGAAACCACACGATCACTTCACAAATGATTAGTCTCAACTGAACGAGCTTTTTACAGCATCCTGCACACTTCGTCACCAATACAAAAAAACGACCTAAAGGTGCTCTCTGTTCTTTGTATTCCACCACTGTTTTTCACCACTCCACGGAAACTTCTTTCGGCAAGGAAATGCCTGAAGCAATCGCTACGAAGGAAATCACGAAGACGTAATGAGTCATGTCTTGCAAGGCTAGATAGCAGACTCTATCAAATGTCGTGCTGTTCCACGTTCTTTGTGTCTTTTCGATGACCAAGGAATGAACTCTGATGAGATTTTTCTTGTTTGTGTCATTGGGCTCTCGTCATGCATTCTCATAGTTAATGTTGCAGAGAACTTTTGCTGGTAAAGTATTGCTGAAATATCGTTAGTGCTGCAGCTATTATGCATAACATACTGTCGTGTTATGATATGAAGAGAGGTTATCTAGAAAAATCTACCGGTGAAAAGCGCGAATGCATAGTCTTCAACTACGAAATTCCTGCAGATGAAAGTCTATATGTCCGTGTAACTTAAGCGCCAGTTGCAAAATCAGTGCAAAAGAAAGTAGTTTCTAAAACTTGTGGTCGCCAGTACTTATAATTGCCTTTTTTAGCTCTTCAATTGTTTCACGTTGAAATGGATCCAAAAGAGAAATACAGAATTCTGGATACACTGGTAACCTGTATAAACTTTCGAACTCATGAAAGGATGATATCATTGTCGCTATCCTATGCCGTTGCTTCCTATTTCTCTCATCATTGTGTCATCTTGAATACAAGATGTGGTTCGGTTGGGGAGCGGGTAAGGTTGGCAGCCTAACGGTGCAGGCCACAAAGTTGCTCGAGCCGCATTTGCCCACTCGCTCCAGATTGATATAGTCTTGGAAAACTCGACGGGTCCTTAACCGAAATTAGACTTTTTCAAATTACTCGCATGTCTTTCGAGAAAGTGAAAAAGTTCAATTTTGGTAAAGAGAGAGTGCCTAGCACCACTGAAGGGATCAAAGGAATAATCCAATCGTAAGTAGAAAACACTAAGTAATAGTAGTATATAGAGAACAAAAAACCTGTATATAGAAGCTTTGTAGATATCTACTAATGGTGTGAATTTCGGAGGCGAAATTTCTTCGGTTGGAGTTTCTATCTAAGGTAAGTTCAGCAGTATAGAGTAGTATGCAGAAATAATCTACCTCCGTTTGCCTGATGGAAACTCCGAAATCTATTAGTTCCAACTAGGCAACGCATCCTATCATATTATGGTTCTTGATAAGCGTATGACTTCATGAGGATGGACAGCACGGGGTACGTTCCTGGGCTTCATCAAGAATCTATTGTGCCCGTTATCGTCTTAATCTGTATGCAAATAAATGACTATTGATTGCTAGTTTTGGAGCTTATACAGAGGGTCCTTCTTTAATGAACACCGGCTGGTGTGTATTATTGAAATATCGCATATCAACGGACATCCTTGGTTCGGTCTTTCCGTGAACTGGTGGTGATAAGTACCGATAACTTCTGGACATCAACAATTGTGTATCATACCTCTCCGTGGAGGGGCGTCCTTTCACTTGGGAAAGCAGTGCTCGTAGTAATTTCATGTAAAGTGATGATGGAAAAAGTGTGTACATGTTGCTCACAATAACTGTTTCTACGATAGCAGCTGCGGTATACAATGATTTCTAAAGGTGAAATTTTTGCAGCAGCAATTCATTTACATCACGTTTTACAAGAAAGAATTTTTTGATTTGTCCTGAATTATTACTCACAAGAAACCGTGGAATTTCTCAAATTACCCNCCCGTCCCACATTAAATCAATCAGATCATTATCAAGCACAATTTGGACATTTTGCAGCACCACCGACAATGAGAGCAGTGCGAGGTCAAGAAAAACTCAGTCGTGCGAAAGTGCGATCCTTGCGAATTACATTGCTTCTGATCCTGGTTTATGTCGTCACTTGGTTGCCCAACAATCTGCTTTCTTGATGAGTTTAAATACTCTTATTTTATTTAACGGAATAAAACAAGATTTTTTAGCGGCTTTGACTTGAAACGTGAAGTTTTGTCAAGGCCGTTGCAAGCTGAAGTGCCAAAACAAGTTTTTCAGTTTTTAGGTGGATGGTGATCTCATTTGACTCCTATCGGGATCATCAAGATGCTACTTTTCCACTGGCCTTCTTAGTAGTGTTGAACAGTGTGATTAACCCCTTCATCTACGGCAGGTTGGTGCTTGTTCGAGTTATGCTTATCTAAACAGGCCATCATTCAGGTGTCAATGGCTGAACATGATGATGTACTGCCGTCGGAAAACGTCTGGGCCGAAGAAGCTGTGCAACCCTCGTGCTGCTGATCTCTGTACATGACCGGTTATTGTTAAATTCGAATAAATATTTGTCAAATATTATGCTAATATACATGTAGAGCGTTTGAAATTATGTGGGCCCAAACAATCTACTGTATTGTGAGCTTCTTAGTTAGAAATGGCAATGGAATCTTTCTACAAATTTGTGCAAGTGCAACAACAAGCCACAATCACATTTCGAAATCTCCTTCATGAGTTAGGATGGAGGCTCGACGTCCGTTAATGAACTCTTCACATGTTTCGCGAAACGTCGTCATTGCATCCGAGTAGTTCTTCCAGCTCTGTGTCAGTGATTTTAATGTGCTTCCATTTTGACACCCCGTCTTTCATTAGTTATTTCCCTTTGCGGTTTCGTGAAGCCGAGATGGGTTCATAGTCGACGTTCTGAAAAGGCTTCGGCAGACGACGTTTGTAGATGGCCATGGCGTAGTAAGATAAGCCATCAGAAACGCCTGTAAGGCGTCAACTTTGAGGTCCTGCCCCTTTGAATTGGCGATTCCTTGCTTAAAAATGTTCAAAAAGCGCTCAGCTTTTATCCACAGAATCTGTTCACTGAAACAGATATGGGGGATGAACTGTTACAGCAAAAATAGCAAAGATAGTGGGGTTACTACAATCTGGACCGCAGTACGATTTGGTGTGTAACGCACTGCAGCTCATAGGGCAGTTGAGAATTCGTGTGATGACTAGCACGGATCCACTGATAGTTTCCTCATTATTCAGTAACCTCTTGCGCTCGGCTTCCCTTCAAAAGTTCTAGACTTGGGATTGTTCATCTCAATTACTCTGGTATAGGGATTCGAGATTACAGCGTAGATGTGAGCAACTGAAAGAATCCTAGTGCGCCGATGACAAATTCAGTATTTACATACTTTCCCACAAGAAACTTCGTTTCCCCGTTAGAAGCTCTGACGTCATAAGCATTTATGCCAATAAAGAACTCATTAAGTTGAGACGCTTTCTGAAAATTGAGGCTTCTTGAACTCTTGTAGAGGCTAATCCCCAGTGAAGTCGGACCTTTCCACCCTCATGCCGTTCAAGATCGAAGTTTTTATTAGGCTAACGTTTTGGCTGCTTCGCTTTCATAGGGGCCTGGAATCGTCAAAAGTATATGTAATTTGCCCCGCTCAAACGTCTGAACAGAAACTCCAAGTTTCTCTAACTAGATTCTGCAAACGTTCAGAGGTATTGGTTCAGTAGGCGCATGGGACTGCTCAGCATGAAGTCCACCGCCAGGAGGACAATCACTCTCGCACTANATCAAAAGTTGCAAAGGTAGAGGAACGGGGTATGGCCAAACACTCCTCCTTACTGTTTATTTGAGGGTCTGTAGCTGTGATCCAGAACGGTTCCAGTGTTTTGTGCGCCGCGATCGGGTTCCGACGCCAACACGGACATTGTATTAGAGGGCAACCCCGAAGTGGTATAACACCCGAAGAGCTTCGAAGGGTGTGCACTCGTGACTTAGCAAGCCTATTCAGATGTTCTTTAAAGGTACACGATAATTTTGGCAAATCCAGACTATGAAGAAAAATGGAAGATAAGATGAAAAATAGGGCGTTGAAAGCGAAGAAACTGCGTGAATCGGTGTTTCTGAAGTAAAAAAAAAGCTCCGAAGAATCGTTAAAAAAGGGGCCGGACGAGAATGCGTTCAGAAAAATAAAGAAGAATGGGGCGTTTCGACGAGCTACACAGTGTGCATCATTGCGTACGCGTGGATCCTGGTACGAGTAACTGACTACGGTAAGCAAAAATTCATTTACTCATAAGCACAAGTTGACAAAAAACTATGGTAACAGCAAAAATAGCCCATCTTTTTCAGCTTCTTAGGTAGAAAATGAAATAATGGACCGCAGCAGCAAAAAGAATAGCACAGAAAAAAGGTTGGGAGGAAAACATCGCTTCATCACACAGCAATCAGTGGCTGTGTGTGAGTCCTAACGTGAATACTTGCAGTCTGTATCGCCTCAACACTCGTCTGACGTGACATCGATCGAGGAGCGGAAAGCCCGCGCGAGCAGGGAACGGNGCTAAGCCCTAACTGTCGAGTTTCTGGGCGCGAGAGGGTCCTTCCTATTACCCTTGGGGTCACTGGGTATTCCTAAGGGGAGAACGTAGTAACGATTTCTATAGTGAACTGTGCCTTTAACGTAGACAACGCATAGAGGGCGACCTATGTCTTCTATGAATTGTCTCCTACGCACCACTTTGACAATGTATTGAGTAAATTACTTCCACTTTCATACAGTCATCATCTTTGCCATAAGGGCATACCACACTTTTTGAACACGGTATCACAGATCCGACTACGGCTATGACGCTTCTGTATGGTGTACGTAGCTATTTCGACAATCTTTACATCCTCTCAAATACCATACAGCTGCACGATTTATGGCGAGAATTTGTTCACTTGTTCAGAAGTGAAAGACAAACAAGAACCTTGTCGATTGTGTTTTTTCGTGGACGACCGGTGTATTGCAACCCTTCGTCTGTTGAGAAGAGTTTATTCGAGAAGGCAATGCTTCGCATAAGATCAGAGACACTTCAGCTCAACACTTGATGGGGCCCTGTTCGCAACTCTTAGCATATTGCTGATCACCGCCTCTTCGGTTCTTATGTTCCATAGTTTTGAGAAGAACGCTATGGCCAGTACAGTTGCTCATCGTTGCCCCATAGCTAGACCTCGCCAGGATCAAAGAAACATTCCTATCTAATTGATCATGCCAAGATTACAAGAAAGTCGTACATGTACTGTTCCTCAATCCAGTCACCAACCGTCTAAGTACACCACAGGGGAAGCTGAAAAAAATTCAGTGCTTTTCCATAAGGGATAAGGTATGGGAGCAACTGAGTTGAAGATGCATTTCGCGTGATTTGATACACATGTTGTCATATTGTGGTGTCTTTGTGAACGCTAGAGACTTTTGACAGTACTGTGATACTGGAATAAATAAATTTAGAAAGCTGAATAAAATACCTTAGGTTTGCTCACTAGTCCGGCACATAAGCTTGAAAATCAGAAGGCGAGGACATAATGATTAGATGGTTTTCAAGAAAAACGAATGTATCAAACAAATACGAAAGAGAGCAGAATGCTGACATACGTCTACTGATAAGATGGAAGCCCACTTTTGACTGACACTCCTATGCACAAAAGGAATTTCATCGGTGGCTAATGGTTGACTTTCTGGCAATTGAAACTGAGAGCACACTTCACGATAAAAATGGTTTCTGAGTTATTCACGTGGGATGAATTTGATGCTTCTTCGTGTACGATATCTGGCGCTACCACATCGAAAACGGCCTAGTTGGGACGCTGTAGAGGCTGAAAGATTGCACCGTGCATATCTTTACTCGAGTTCCACAGGCAATGCATAGGCTGCACCATTCACGAGGGAACAAGCAGGCTAGGAGGCTCAAGCAACTTGTCGTGACCATGGCGACAGTGGAAGGCAGTTTTGTACAGTTCTGGAATGATGTAGTCAGCCCTTTGCGCAATTGCAACAGCTGAAATCTCGTCCAAAAACCCTCTCATGTTATTTCCGTCACGACAATCTTGCCCGATCTCTATTTTTCCTGTTTTTAAGAAGCCTTATTTTATACGAAATCGGCAAATTTTCTCGCTTTCTTCGCTACCGATGAACTATTCCCCCCAACCTATACTTTCGCTTTTCGAGCAAAAAGGAGTACCTCAAAATTGTCGTGAGCTGTGCCTTTGAGTAAGTTCTTTTCTGCTTTTATTTTGCATTGACAGTATTCATGAAAAAGTTGTTCTTTTCATGTCGCCACTATATCAATACGTCAACACTTGAGATTGAAGAAATTGTAACATCGTGAGCAATGTTTATAGGAAATTCAATCCAGCCCCTGAAGGTCGAGTCCATACAGCTCAAATCTTTGTCTGATTGGAAGAAATCTGCCCAGTGAACTCAAAAATATTCTCCGGTCCTCTTTCCTCCTATCCCTATACACGCACACACAACACACATCGACACAAAATCACAAGGAGTCTTCCGCTCCCAAATGGTAGTCGCAAAGAGAGCAAGAAATGCTACATCCCCACACAAATATGAGAAGTTCCCAACTTTGTTGTCGACGTTACTGTTTGCCAGATTTTACATGTATTATAGGACCTTGCTGTTTACCTTTCCGTAAGACCTTGGGCACTACACATCACCTACTTTACCTCACTCTGATCATCATTTTCTCTACTGAGGTCCCATGTACTTGCATAAGTTGTCGTCACCGCTCCATTTGAACAAGGTTAATCGTCGAAGACAAAGAAATAAAACAAGAGAATCACAATAATACACAAGCTCCTACGATGCATTATTGATTCTCTTCTCCATCAAAATGCTTATGCGAAGCAATTAGAGTGGCCGTATATGCGATTGTAGCAGTTATTGCAGCAGTAGTCATGGGCAGAGAGGAGTGTCCGGTTTTTTAACACACAGTCCATTTTCCATATTACATGTGGAACCGGGGTATGTAGTGCAGTCACTATCGGCCATACATGGACCAGATCCGGCTCCATAGATCAAGCCGAAGTAAGTCATAGCTGTGCTAAACAAATAAAACGATTATTAAAGGCAGTTATGCTTGAAGTGCTTTCGTGATGTTCTGAGAAAGTATTTTTGGGAAAGCCTCACATTATGCATGATTCTCAAGATATGTAAGCTTCCTGCTCATCTAAAAGGCTTGTGGGTGATTGGACTCAGAACTATGTGACCGTTCTGCGACAGGGTACGTAAATGTTGGGTGACTCGAAAATAAAAAAGAAGGCGTGGGTGAGTCATCAGTATCTGAGAAGCATCCCAAACATCAAAAAATTCAAATGAACGACACCTTCGCCCTTGTATTCTAGCGTATGCACAAGACCAATGCGAAAAGATGTGTATCTACACGAACTCTACACCACAATACCCAACACAAACTAATTTGGTCGACTGAAAATCAGAATCGTACGGACGTTTTGAAAGACTACTCACCACCCTTCGTATGCGCAGTACACCTTCTTTTCGCCATAGCATGTATCGGCACATCCTACACCAACGGCGTATCCCGAAATCATCTGGAGAATTGCTTGTGTTTGTACAAGCACTAACGGAAAAAATTATCGGTTTGGCTCACCTGAGAAAAGACGCTATATGAGAACGTTGAGTCGTATACTCCAGTGCTGTTGATAAAAGCGCCAAAGCCTTTCTCATTCCACCACTGCTCGAAGAATGCTGCTATTGGGATAGAAGAGATAACGGGAAGTTTTTGAATGATAAATCTTCTGTGACTTCCACGTTCGCCTTTCCTTGAACCTGGGCATCTGTACTATTATTAGTCAATTCTTCTATGCCATACAGGTTTTTAATGGTGGAATCTTTATTCGCCTGACGTTTCGACAAAATCGTCTTTTTTAAAGGCCTGAAAGCGTATCGCAACTTTAGAGTGTTACCTATCACGTTTGACGTAGACCAGCTCTTAACTAGTTGCAACTCAGGCCGACGAACTACCAACTTAGGAGAAATTTCAACAAGCCACATACGTCAATTCCACCAACACCGAACACTTGCTCAACTTTGAAGACAATAGAGCAATTGAGACAGCCCGGTCAATCACGACCCTTTAATAGTATCGTGACGTGACACGTATCAGTCTCCATTATCAGAGCTCACACAGAGGGATGAAAGGCAAGAGGTCACCAGTTATGTTGATGCACTCATTCCTGTTATTCATGCTTGGATTCGGTGTCTTATCCAGAAAGCCTCGAGAGTTTTTCTGGCACCAATACTGTCCTCGTAGGCCAGAATCGTGCATTTAACGGCGAAGTCACAACCAGCATGACCTTCTCTTCTGTGCTTCCCAAGCGGTGCAATCGAGCAGGACCTTCGTTTGCTAGCTAAATGCTCTTTCACACGAACGCACAACTGTCTCCCAGTTTCTCCAATATAGCAAGCATCACATGTTAAACACTGAAGTTGGTAAACCACACCTCTTTGTTCACAGTCTCCTACTTTTCCATACGGGCAGATCACGCAGTTATCCATGATGCAAACCCGGTCATAGAGACGATTTCTAACCAACTGGTGTTTAATGTTTTCTCTTGTAAAATTGTAAAAAATAAAGATTCCACCATTAAAAACCTCTATGGCATAGAAGAATTGACTAATAAGCTTCTGTGACTTTTGCTCCAATGTTCTCTCCTAGTATCCTTCACATCATAAATTTGACTATTTTCCTCGTAGAGAATCTTGCTCTTCTAACAAAGTATAACATTCTAGAATACGAAAAAATGCAGGAAAGCAGTAACAAACGTTATATGAGTTGGTGCGGGCAATTGACTGCATAGTACCATTCCTCAGCCTTGCAGGAGTATCCCTAAAGCATGCCGAACAACTTTAGCCATCAAGTTCAGGTGAAAACATTTGGCATTCACACGTAGTTCACCACAGTTGATTGGTGCATACCGAGACCGTAATTATTCTAATTATATCAATCCCTAGTCTCTACACGATAAAAATTGCGCTTGTTTGGCGCAGTGAGTCCGGCATATACGCTGTGTGTACTAATTAAGCTTTCTCGATGGCAAAAAATCGAAATACCACTTGATACATACACTGGTGTGCAAAACTTAGGGACGAAAGCAACTTTCGATCACTGAACCTCTGCCAGACGACCGAGCTCGATGAAATTTATACCGTACCAATAGAGGATCATTACGGTATTGCACGGAAGTAACTGGCAGAAAATCGAAATAGGAGTAGCAAATAAGGCATTTTTATTGAAAGGTATCGATTACACATAGCTCCTCACAACTTATCTTAGTACTTCAAAAAAAGCGACTCTACCCAGTGCATCCTACACGTGCTCCATGGGATTCAGGTCGGGGGGCACGGACAGGCCACTCCATTCGCTGTATAACCTCTTGTGTAAAGAGCTCTTCCACCTGAGATGTTCGATGCGGTCACGCATTGTTATCCATGAAAATGAATTCAGGGCTCACTGCAGCCCTGAAAGGATAGCCATTAGGGAGGGGTTCCTT